ATTCAAAAATTCTAAAGATTGCATCATAATTTTTCATTAAATCTTGATATAAATAAAATGCTCCGCAGGGCGCAGCTTGATACGACCGCAGAGGTCGAACCCTGAACAGTTGGGGCAAGTATGGACACAACATTCAAGCTTGATACAGCTCTGAATTTGGATTGTGATTAAATATTTGACACAGCATAGGTTTCTGACACAGAATGAATGTGGTCTAAGAACTTAAAAATTTTAAATTGGACATTCACCTATTATGGTCCAATATCCAAAATCTAAATACATGGTTAGATTCAGCATATCAAAGAACCCCAAGAATTCAATTTTTGATGAAATCAAACAAAGTTTAATTTTGGACCCTTTTGATCTCAATGTGGACAAAGTTGATAACGGGGCCCAAAAATCAAAAATCTAAATACATGGTTAGATTCAGCATATCAAAGAACCCCATATATTCAATTTTTGTTAAAATCAAACTAAGTTTAATTTTGGACCCTTTGGACCTTTATGTAGACCAATTTGAAAATGGAACCAAAAATTAAGAATCTAAATACACGGTTAGATTCGGCATATCAAAGAACCCCAATAATTCAATTTTTGATGAAATCAAACAAAGTTAAATTTTGGACCCTTTGGACCTCAATGTGGACCAATTTAAAAACGGGGCCCAAAATCCAAAAACTTAATACACGGTTATATTCAGCATATGAAAGAACCCCATATATTCAATTTTTGTTGAAATCAAACAAAGTTAAATTTTGGACCCCGATTTGGACCAACTTGAAAACTGGGCCCATAATCAAAAATCTAAATACATGGTTAGATTCAGCATATCAAAGAACCCCATATATTCAATTTTTGTTGAAATCAAATAAAGTTTAATTTTGGACCCCGATTTGGACCAACTTGAAAACTGGGCCCATAATCAAAAATCTAAATACATGGTTAGATTCAGCATATCAAAGAACCCCATATATTCAATTTTTGTTGAAATCAAACTAAGTTTAATTTTGGACCCTTTGGACCTTTATGTAGACCAATTTGAAAACGGAACCAAAAATTAAGAATCTAAATACACGGTTAGATTCGGCATATCACAGAACCCCAATAATTCAATTTTTGATGAAATCAAACAAAGTTAAATTTTGGACCCTTTGGACCTCAATGTGGACCAATTTAAAAACAGGGCCCAAAATCCAACAACTTAATACATGGTTAGATTCAGCATATTAAAGAACCCCAAGAATTCAAGAATAAAACCCCATTGAAATTGATCAAGAAATAAGCAATTTATACAAAGTATATTCTTTTGCACAATACTGTGCAATTGAATATTTCTTGCTATTGCGCAATACTGTGCAATTGAAGATTTCTTGCTATTGCGCAATACTGTGCAATTGAAGATTTCTTGCTATTGTGCAATACTGTGCAATTGAAAATTTCTTGCTATTGCACAATACTTATTGTATAATAATTTACACATCCTGTTTGGTGTGTATTTCCTACCATATCATTATTATTTGCTTTTAAATATAAATCAGAAATAACCAACTTAAAATGGAAAATTTTAAAAGAAAAAAAAAAGGAAAAAAAGAAAAAAAAAAGAACCCCCCCCCCCCCCAAATTTTTTGAACCCCCTTATGATTCATCACCCCCAAACTCAATCCCAGCCTTCCCTTTGTGGTATGGTATCTTGCAGTACAATTTCAGAGAGATCCATACACTTGAACACAAGTTATTGTCTGGAAACTAGAAAAATGCTTATTTTTGGCCCCTTTTTGGCCCCTTTTTGGCCCCCAATTCCTAAACGTTTCGGGCAATTACCCCCAAACTCAATTCCAGCTTTCCCTTTGTGATATGGAACCTTGTAGTACAATTTAAGAAATATCCAAACACTTACACACAAGTTATTGTCATGAAACTAGAAAAATGCTTGTTTTTTGCCCCTTTTTTGGCCCCTTATCTTAAAATTTTGAGGCAATTACCCCCAAAATCAATTACAGCCTTCCCTATGTGATATGGAACCTTGTGGTACAATGTCAGAGAGATCCATACACTTACACACAAGTTATTGTCTGGAAGTTACAAAAATGCTTATTTTTGGCCCCTTTTTGGCCCCTAATTCCTTAACTGTTGGTACCATAACCCCCAAAATCAATCCCAACCTTCCTTTCATGGTATTGAACCTTATGGTAAAATTTCATGGAGATCCATTAACTTAAACTTAAGTTAGAGTGCGAAAACTAATGTGTCTTCGGACGACGCTGGACGACGCCGGACGACGACGACGACGACGACGACGACGACGACGACGACGACGACGCCAACGTCATACCAATATACGACCAAAAAATTTTCAATTTTTGCGGTCGTATAAAAACATTTAAATAATTGTACTATAATTTATCTAGAATCAATGCAACATTACATAAGCTTTTGATTATAAATCAACACTGAATGATTTATATCCTCACGGCTTCTTTTATATCAGGTGATTTAACAGAAAGATTATGTGTTGTAATTTGTAACTAATTAATACATTATCTAAGTTTAATCAGGTAAACAATAGAATCGTTACATGCGTTGACAGCTGGCATGACAACAAATGGGATTTAATAGTTGCTCTTATTTAATTGGGGTTCATCCTGATTATATTGACAATGAATTAAATATGTGTCAAAGACGAGCCTTAATATAATAACCAAGACAGAATATTTGCTGAGACAAAACGGTCTAGCCCAATTAATACAAACTGGTAAAGGACTAAAATTCTAAGTGCCAAAAATTATTTCAATATATTAGATTATTGATTAATTAAAGCTGATCCTTTTGTCTGTAATATCATGTGTAGTTAAAATACACATCAACCGTGCAAGACCCTCATGGGTAGTCAAGGTCGTTCAACACCCCTAGTAGTAGTTAGAATAAGACTTGGGTGTTTTAACTGACTGGCTGATTGTGAGGGGTTGCATTAAGACAGCTATATCAAGAGAGAGCTTCGTATATTAAAACTGAAACAGATATTTGTATCGCTTGAATTTTTGCTCCAATCAAAATGTGAGAATATTTCATAACCTGTAGCTTCGTGACATTTATTTTTAATTAATACTTTTAAAGACTTTTAAATATTTACTTTTTTTAGCATGAAATAATTACGATAAAAGATTTGTCATAGAGGTATTTTCTTTATTTGTCGAACAATACTTTTTCGAACTACATGATTTGGTGTTTGAATGGAAGATGGAGCCTTTTTCTCACAGTACCCTTTACCATGAAATATCAAATGACTATTCTCCTATGTTAATATCATTTGGACTAGCTTGTAATTTGTAAAATCCAGTTTTCTAGCTACAATTAATTAGCAAATTTGGAAAAAATATTTCTAAGAATTGTTGCACTAATCCTAATAAGGCAAAAATATTTTTTAACGCAATTACAAATTTATTTTTAACTGTCCAATATAATCTCCCAATTCCCTGAAATGCCTCTACTAATTTAAAAGCAATCATGCAATAAGGAGAATTCCAATGCATTCCTTCATATTTTCATTACAGCAAAATCTAGGAAGCTAAACAAAATGCTGAAGTTCATTCATAAAAGAATTTGATGGACATTAATGAAAATTAATAGAGGACTCTGGATGAATTTTGAATCCTATTAAAAAGTATAAAGAAGACATCACGCACATTAAAGCTGCAGAACTTTAGCCTCACCCTAATCAATAGCTTTGCAGTTTATCCGTCTTTTCAAGATAAATGTTTCATTAAATGTTAGGTGGGAAAATCATGGAAATTAACAAGGTTCATCATGTGTAATGATGATTGAGAGATTTTGGGGAATATCTTGACAGGGCACCTAATACACAGGTTATCGAGATGAGAGGTATATCTAATGCACAGGTAGAACCACAGGTAAGGTACCTGATGATTTTTTTTAATGATAAATTAGCCAGAAATGATGAATTGATTTTTTTCTAAAGAATCTGTAACTATCCTAGGATTGGCTTTTCAATCTATAATTAATTGCTGATTTCTACATTTAATTCAATTATCACAATAGTTTGCTTGCCAATATATTTAATTGTTGAAAGTGAAAATATTTTTGAACAATTTGCCTCAGAAACAGACAATATCTGAATGACTTCTGTGGTAAAACAGATGCTCTTGCAATAAAATGGGTTAACTGCTTTTTAAAACAAAATTTAAGTTTAATGATGCTTTTAGGAGTCTGCTTTTGTTGAAAATATTTGTACTAAAAATATTGCCTTAATTTTTATATATGAGATCATAAAATAGATTCAACATGTATAAGTTCTTTTTCCACAAAAATTTTCCTAGATCTCACTTATGACTGTTCCAAAAATAAATGCATAGTGACTTATACACACCTTTTAAGACTAAAACCACCCATAATTTAAAATTTTCATTTCACCTATAAATCTTACAAAATCTAAGGCAATTCCAACAACCTATTATTAATATACTTGAAGTGTTTGTCAACGTTAAATTTGGAACAGTCTTTTGTTACATTGTAATCTATGTAAGAAAATTTTAAAGAAAGCTATGAGCATTGTCATGAAGGAAAGACTGTCCATAGGAAAAATTCTTCAATTCTATTCCTTTCCACAATTATTAAAAGAACAGTTCTGATGCACATTACAGATATAACTTATAAATCATTTATTGTAATTGCTGTTTGTGAGTGCACATAAAAGTGTGCTGTCTTGGGCTTTTTTTTGAGTGCTATTATTTTCCCAAATTTTTGAGTGGTATAATTGTGCAATTTTTCTGTGCAGTATTTAGTAGACTATTTTCAGTGTGCTATTTTTTACCATTTTTTTGTGTGCTCCTCTTTTTGTGCCTGTTAAAATGTTTTGTCTGGTATCATCCAACAAATTTTGGTCATTCTGATTTTTTGATCTTGTACTAAGTTTTTGAATATGAAAGCTAATTTTAAATACAAACTGGTTCCCTTTTGTATACCATTCTACCTGTCATACTTACACAAAGCCAGGTCTTGTTCCAGTTTGTAGGCAATCTGTTCTGCTCTTTCTTTTCTCTAGAAAAATATACAAATAAATTATATCTAATTTCTTACTAATCGTTTAAAACAGAAATATCAAGCTAAATATGCCAAAGTTTCATCCGGTTTGAATAAAGTCATATTGCCCATTCTGTTAACAGAAATTCTTTGCATCGTTTTAAAAATAAAATTCAAATTACCGCTATCATAAAAAAAAAATGGGACACAGATGATGCCCCCGCTTGCATATCATATGAAGTTATAAAGGGACATAACTGAAGAACGGTAAAAGTGACGCTATCCAAATTTTTACTTGATCTGAGTTTTGTGGTTATAAGTATTGTGTATAAGTTTCATAACATTTAGTTGAGGCAAACACAAGTTAGAGAACGGAAATGAAAAATTCAGCAATTTTTCCATTTGTAAAGGGGTATAACTCTAGAACAGTAAAAGTGACACCACCAAAATTCAAACTTGATCTGTATTTTGTGGTAATAAGCATTGTGTTTAAGATTCATAAAATTTGGTTGAGGCAAACTTAAGTTAGAGAACGGAAACCAACTTTGGGACGTACGGACAAGGGTAAAACTGAATGCCCCCTCCGCTACGACGAGGGCATAAAAATTGCTGTTTTTTCTTCTTCAAATTGAGCATTTTCAGTCAAACATTTGCTTAAATCAATATTTCTATTTTTACACAGACTCAATCAATTTATTTGAATTTGGGCAGGGGCTTGAACTCTTTAAAACTTCTTCTTATATCTTACATGTATGTATATTTATGTCACATAAAGATACATGTAAATTGTTAGATTTTGTTAATTCAATCTAAATAGTAAATTATAAATATAACTTTTATCAAAAGCTTAATTTGAAGTTTATCAATCCATTTATGCAAAGTAACTACTGGTAAATAAAATTAGGAACATTGCCATTAGTTGAGGCTATTCATTTCCCACAAACAACCAAGATCAATGTATACAGAAAATGAAAATCAATTTCCATTCAGAGTCATATCAACATTAACTATAATTGTACCCTCGTACGATTGAGCTGTTTCTTCAATATATTCCTATCTTTCTTTTGACCATGAATCAATACGTCCACTGAGTTACATATCCAATAATTCCATACAATAACTCTTATTGATACAGTCGGCAGTAATCTAATAGTTATTTCTGCTATCCTAATGAACAGTTCAGGTCTTATCTATAGGCAAAATGTCAAATTCGGCAGGGGAAACTTTATCAAATATAAACAATTTGTCTATTCTGTTTGTTTTTATGCCTAATATATCATTAACCAAAGCCTTTAAAGAAAATTTACATGCGTCAGCAACCCTTAACTGTTAATCTTATGTGAGGCTTGTGTCTGAATACGAAAAACCAATGAGACTGAAATATCATTAATAGTTAAAAAGTTGACCAAAGTGGATAGATTCAACTCCCTAATCTGAGAAGGATTCATGTTCTTGAAGGCCCTAAAGACATCAATGGACAAACAATTCCAATCAGAACTTTTCATGAAAAAAATGATCATTTTACAGAAATATTCTTGCTCTGTAGTTCATGGTTGACAACCTTTTAGATGAAGAACAGGCAATATGAGTCTGTTTTGATATTACGGGTATTTCACAACGTGCATTGTTATCTCATATCCTTTCTTTTCCTACTAAATATTTACTTTTCTTTCTTTTCTTTCATCCTTTGTTTCCACTCTTGTTGGAGGGGGTGTGTCTTTAGGGTCCTGGAAAGAAAAAAAGGCTATTAATATAATAGTTACAAATAGTGAAATTACTGAATTTGGTACATCTCTATGGGAAAACTAGTTGACTTTGTGTCTCCAGAGACCAAAACCAAATGTATTTTAATCATTTAGTCAATTTTTCTTTCGCTTGAAAAATACATGTATGGAGTAGTCTGCTAGATTTCTATTCAATTTTACAAATGCATGGCGGTTGGTTTCGTCACTTAAACTGCCCTAAAACATTTATCTGTTAATCAAGGCGTCAAGTAACAAAAGGTTAAATGGGGATGAAAACTATCATTTCTATACATTGGATTTACCTGAAGGAACATCCAGCTATTAATTCGTATCAAGAAATTTGATTTTTCGACTGAAAAACTTGTTTGTATAAATTATGTCACAGATATTTACAATCAAAAAATTTTCCAACCATATCTCAAAATTTGTGAAAATAAAATCTTAAATTACATGTTCTATGCAAATCCAACTCCCACTAAAATTCAACATCCTGCCCATTTATATACATGATATATATCCTGTTATATTAAACATCACACACAACTAAAATGGTAAAGTTACATCAAATACATCATGCCTTTACCTTATAAAATTTAGATGTATTAATATCACACCATATTTACGTACAAACTTTCACAATGACTTTGCGTTATAAGGTAGGTAAATTTTAATGAATGCTTCTTTTTTATGTGAAAGTTGCATATTTTATGTGCATATATATATATACTCCCTTTTCTTACTGGTGCAGATATAATTTTCCTATTCATTTCATCTTTATATACATTTACATGTACACGTTATACATGTAAAAGTTATCATCGTCATCATCATTTGATCCAAGTAGAGAATAGAACTAAAGCTTCAAGTGCAAGAGATGAGAAATGCTAGAATTTTCATAATGTTTAAGCTTATTATTCCATTAACTTAATAACTTTTACAAGTGCAGAACTTTCACTTTTTCTTCATGTTATATAATTAACAGTTCAGATAAACAGTACAGTTTGTCTAAAAATAGAACCCTAAACTGCTCCTTTTTTCCTTTTACCACATGCAAATGCTTTCACTTGAACCAATAATGTATGTTCATGATGTTGAAAGTTACATACTTGTACAAATTTCCTATACCATAAAGCAACAAAGTTTTATCTTCTCTTAATGTGTACAGGCCATACAGTGCATTTGGCCTAAAGATAGAACCCATATCAATAAGAGATTTATATTCACACTCTTTTAGTGTTATTTGTTAAATATTTGGCAGAAATCACATCAATGGCTTTCTATGTTGTCCAAAGAGGTGGGCTTATCTTGCTTTAAGATGTGATGCCAAACAAAAATGTATTTGTTTTTCATGTTTTCTTATTTAGAAAATAGGGTGGGTACCTATAGATTGGATTTTTTTTCATTTGTTTTTTTTTCCTTGAGTACATGCGGACTACCTACAATTTTGTGTCAATTCACTTAACCCTTTCGTACCGAAATGATCCTTTTGGCACCCTGGAGCGCGAGCCGAAATTGTCCTTTTGGCACCACGGAGCTGTGGGCGAAATTATCCATAAAATTTTTAACCTACGCATTTTGAAGCATACACTTATAGGGTAGGTAGGAAAACCCTAAACACAAGTGTTTTTTTAGCTCATAATAGAATTTGTAAGACCTACATGTACAAGTAACTATAAAGATGGAGAACAGCAATAAAAAGCTTTGTTCCTACTGGGAATATCAGTCTCATGTACATTATTGCCAATCATGACTGCAGCATTGTTGCCTCTTTATTTTGTTCAGTTTTGGTTGCATACATAACATGTGTTGTTCTATGGCTATTTGATTGGCAATGTCTGGGCCTTTTATAGCTATTAACTACATGTACAGTGTGTGCTTTTCTCATGGTTGAGGGTCATACTCATAGTGATCTACAGCCATTTTTCTCCTTTGAATTCTTTCACTTTTTTCTTGTCTTATAGCTGACTATACTTTAAGGGGTTTTTTCATTGTTAAAGGCTGTACAGAGATCTATAGCTATAACCGCTTACTTCCCATCATATGAACTCCCTCAAAAAGTTGTCTCATAGGTAATCATACATCATCTCCATATTTCTATATTTAGACTCATCTCTCTTTTAATAATAATATAACTATATAAGAAAGTTGGTCTACAAGTCAAGATTGTCTATTTACATCTTTCTTGTATCATCATTTATGCAATAAAGTACCTTTGTGCTACTACTAGTGTGAAATAAAATGTCCCCTTGGGTTATGTATCTAAATGAAAATTTGGAATCATTGCCAACACTCTTGATTCTTCACACAGCACACCTTTTGAATTTCAAGGAAAAACCTCAGGATATATATCATATACTAAAAATTCAATTTTTTACATAATCTATTAATATTACAATAGAAATAAATAATTTCCCAAGCTGTATAAACAATTTTTGCTATTTTGCCAGATGTACTGAGACAAAATAGGCACAAAAATCATAATATAAGCAATTAAACAATACTGAAGTATTATTTAATGTTCAGAGATGAATGCCTCTATCATTGTACCAACTTCACCTTAAACTGGGATTGTTGCAGTTTATAAACTCCTTTGAATGATGTGGACCTTTCGTGAGTAAGTCAATTTCTTACCAGGTAAATGTTTGTAAACATTTAAATTGCATTACATTTTTTAATTAGAATTTTGAAAGTTCAAGCATTGTGTAATCACGTTTGGCATGTGTTTTAATGGATTTAAATTTAGCAGCAAAAAAACCTTGCAAACATCCTTTAAGCTTAATAAAGGGTAAGAAACTTATATTTTTACATGTAATGAGCATGTAAACAAATGTATGACTACGAAAAACCAAATGCAATTTATAAACATGTACATGTAGAGGTATCTCAAAAAACTAGGTCGAAATATGACAAGAGCTTGTTTACATTCCTCAGTATAATTGTTTATAAAGTATTTTTAAGCTTTAAATATGTTAAAACAGGATGAGGTAAGCAAGCTAAGCACAAAATTCATTCACAATTCATAAAAAAAAAATTGTCTTTATATATACTTTCAGTTATTATACTACTTGGTGACTTGTTGACTTTAAAAGCATTTATGAATGTAGACAATATTTAAAAATATTGATGAGCTATACTTTATACATGAGAATTTAACATGTGTATACAAATTGTATATATACATTGTAAGGCTGAGTGTAAAATGGTTTAATTGAAGAGTGTTTAATCAGTAAATAATGGTATCTGGCTTTCAAGTCTAAAAAAATCACAGCATACCGTGTAGTAGTAAATAATAAACACAAACAATAAAATACTCCAATATGCAAACACAAAACCTGAAACAATCCCTAGAGTCAGTGTTAGAATCTAATTCTTGACAAAAGTCAATACAGATTTGACAAAATGTCTCTTTGATTCTTTATGACAAATTGATTGGCCTGGCAATTCTCTGTTTGATTATAGCTAAGAAAAAACAATTTCTTCATAAATTTACAAGATATTGAATACCAAATAATCAATAACTTCTGATAACTTTGCACACACAATTCAAAGCACGAAGTGTACTCTATCATACTTAAAACAATCTCTCACTTGTGTCTAAAGAATGAAAAGTCGAGTTAAACATTATAATAGGATAGGAAGCATTTCTTTATCAACAAAATCGTTCTCTTTTCTTCTTTAGCCTAAAGATCTAGATGCTGTTGAATCTCAAAGGATAGAAAGACAACAGGCTGCCAAAAGAATAAGGCGAAGCAAATCTGCACCAAATAGTGGCAGGTCATGTTCTGTGTCAGATTCGTCAAAAGGTGGTCAGTGTACAGGCGAAGAAACTAAGTCAGCATGTCTTCCAAACATATTCAAGATGCAGCAAAAAACAAGTGACAAATACAAAGACCAAAACAATCAACAGGACCAATTAACAACTCCACCGATATCTTCTCCCGATTCAAATCCTCCACCATACCAAGACTCATTACAATACATTAATTGTGATCCTGCAAGTAACAACCTAGAAAATGTTCCAGTGAATAAATGTCACAAGGATGAATGGTCAGACACAAAGGATGAGACAACAGTTCCCTTACTGGAAAAAATACAAAATAACAAGTAAGTACAAAATGTATTACTATACATGTACATGTACTGTGGATTCGTTTATTTCCGTGGTTACCAATTTTCGTACATTCAAGAAAATTGTATTTTCTTTGAAAATTGATTTCGTAGATTTGCGAAGGTTTCCATACAAGCTAATATAGAAAATTTATACATCGTTAAACATTTAAAATTCGTGGTTTGCCTCTACCAACGAAATCCAGGAAAATTGGTATCCAGTGAATAATTATGAATCAACAAGTTATTACATGTACATGTCTATAATTGAAGTATGTTAAACAAAGAAAGTGAACATTTGAAAATTGTGACTGATTTCTAATCTACTTATTAGTTTATTTAAACAAATATTGTTGTTTTTATTTTAGCTTAAACATGTGCTTTTAATTACTAAATGATAAATCTGTATTTAGATCATAATAAATAAAATATACTACATACATGTATATGCATGCACATTGTAGCTTTTCAGACCACACTTGATCTGGTGATATGAATAAAGTAATAGTACATGTAACAATTTTCTGTTGATGTAATATATATAGCTGCAGAATTAGAAGTAAACTTTTTTACTGTTTTTCCTGATGTCTTAATAAAAATATTGTTATATATATGTCAATGCCGAAACATTGACATTGTAACTTTACACCTAAGGAAATGTGTCATAGGAAATTCAATAATTGATACATGTAGTTTAATACATGTACAATTATACAAACTAATTACAGCAAGTTCATTTTTGTACTTTGCCAGATGATACAGATATATTTATTGTAAACCTGATTACAATTTGTTGAAAAATACCCGATTCATTTTTTGGCATCATAAATGAAAGATATTCTAATGCTTCCAAAATTGGCTGGGATTATCTCCATATATACATGTGCATTTTGTGCCTACTGTGTACTGTAAAGATTTGTTAGTTACAAATGTACTTCGTGAAAAATTAATCTATCATGGATACATCTGTTTTTACACATTAATCTTTACATGACATGCACATGTATGTCTATCTCATGTGTATCAAATTATACATGTATCAAAAAAACTTTCAATTGCACTATGTATTTTGCTTTAATAAACAAATCCAAAACTGTTCAAGGCTGTAACTCAATTGTGTTTTTAACCCAAATTTTATAACATATATTATCAATCAACTGGTGATCTCTAGATGTCTTTTTTAGTTCATTTTTATTGTTGGGTTGCAGCATTGACTTTTTTACCCTAATTCTTTTTTAACTAATATACAGCTACAAAATATTTATTGTGTGCATATTGATAGGGATTATGCCATAATGGTCATATAACATGTATAATACACAAGTCCAATCTTTTTTATAACAAATAATGCCATATAATACACAAGTATAATCTTATTCAACAATATGTTGTATCTTACTAAAAGTTAATTGTCAATATACAATCAATATTCACCATTTGTCACATTTTTTTTGTTATTTGAGATAAGGCATCAGTAACATCAATCGCCAGCCACATATCCAAATCATGTGTCAATTCAAATTAATAAAATAATACATAATTTTCAAATATAATATTTTGTAAAACACAATTTAATAAAATCCGGACAAATTAAAAAAAAACATTATATATTAAGAAATTGAGACCTATAGATGAATGTACAAATTTCTTTCTACGGCCAAAAAGATAATATTAATGGACAATGATGGATAGGTGCCTGTTTCTATCATAACTTTGTTTACTTATGTCATAAATTAGAGGTGGTTTTGTGTATCTAGATAATTAACAACTGATGTTTGTACATCACCCTCTACACTTTCCCAATCAATACACTGTTTTATCCACTGATCATTGTTTACAATTTGCTCCTAGTATCTATACAAGAAAGAGCTGGATCTCTATCGCAGAATCCACTTTCATATAATTTCTGTGAACTGTGTAACTATTTAGCTTATTACACCTAGCTATAGTACAGGTAAATGCTAGTATTGGATTACACATCTAAAATCATCCTGCTTTTCAGAAATCAATTTCCATCTATTTTGTGACACTAGTGTAGCTTATTCTCGATTTAAGTTATGGAGGCCAATTCATTGATTGAAAGGATTTTTTCCAATTTGTGTAATGTAAAGTAAACTTGGATTATCTTTAAGGAAATTATCTATTTTTGGAATTATATGAAAAATTCAGTTGCCATTGGTGACATGAATGGCTTAATTGCATTTCAGAATCTGGCTTCATATGTGTAACTTGATTTGTAAGTCTTTGACGCTTGTATGTGTGTCATGGATTAAATTATGTTAACACATTGATGTGTGAATTATTCATAATGAACTGCCTAAGCTCCACCAATTGATTCAGATTCAATGGAAAGGCTTTAAGATGCACATGTGTGTTTATTTACATTTGGTATCAAAAGGAATTATTTAAGAATTAATTTCTTAGCAAATCATGCCTTCAACTGACATGGGCATTATAGTGTTTTGGGGGGAAAATAGTGATTGAAACTTCAACAATTGACTTCTTAATACACACAATTATCAAAAACCTTATGATGGAATGGGGTGACGAACCAAAACTGGACATATCTAATATTTTCTAATGCAGAATTAGTAAACAATGGCAACTTTAGTGTCAGCCATTTTGGAAACATTGTAAGTTTGTTTATCTATTTAAAATCTTATCTATTGTACTTAAATATATTTAGATTTTACCTCAAACTCATTTAGAAACTGTGCAACTCCACCATAACTTAACCTCTTCTTTTCGAAACCCAATTTGTCCGCCGGTGGTAAGTATGGGACAGGATCCCTGGCAGCAAAAAGAGCCAGCAAGTTTGGAGGTAAGAAAGCAGTCATTTTGATCAAGTATCTCTCAGTAACTTGTCTTTAAAGTCTTCAACAGCCTCTATTGACCCTCATTCAAATACACAGCGGTTATGTAAACGCCAATTTGTTCTCTCTGTCCAACACATGCAATTTACCACGTCCCTAAATAACTCGATTGAGACGTCTGTTCTTCGTTGCTTTGTACTGTGCCGATAAATGACGTACCACAGGGAATAAGGTGAAGTATTATCCTCGCAGTGAATTAATATTTTAACGCTAATTTTCTTATCAAGAGAAGAAATATGTAGTATTCTTGAAATGTCAAAGCTTATTGACTTTATATGCTTTGTGCCATAGGAAGAATAAACTGTTAATGGTAATTTAATATTCACTGCATAAAGCACCTGTTAGTCGAGAGCCAAAGTTGTTTGTAAACGGGTTTGTGATTGGTTAATCGATCAAAGTCTCAACTCTATCATATACTCAATGGGTTCATGTCAACGTAAGATCAACAGTAAATTGTAGCGATTGAGGGTGAAATTTTTGCATGAGATATGGTTTGTTAATTTATTGAACCCTGCTCATCATGTTTATAAAACGACAACGCTTAATTGCATGCAACAAACTATGAAAAAAGTGCACAATGGACAGTGAAAAAGTGACATTGACTTGAGATTGTTTTATGCAGACGATAATCTTGCTAGGAAAGAACATGTACTTTTAAGAAAGTGTGTTTTAGAAATTATGCTTTGACATCAGTGCCAATGATATCCTCTCAAACGGAATTTTATGATTATAACATTTGCAAACGTGATCACAATCTTAGCACAGTTTTCTTTTTGACAACTTTGTTTAGAACTGCACAAAATAGGCTTTGGCATTGAGTCAAGAAATTAAAAATTGCTTTAACAACTGTTCTATAGCACACAATGGAAATAATTAAACAGCTTACATATAGGAAAATAAATTTGTGATTTTAATAACTGGAATATATTTATACATGAAAAGATGACATGAACAAATCTAAACGTTGTAAGTAGGGCTAACACTTTTATGCAAAATGGAGGTGGCAATGATGAGCTTAGAACAAGGTAATGGTGGGCCTAATTGTAATTACCAGCGTCAAAATCATGTTCTTCCCAATTCCAGGTCTTATCCAAAGCCAACTGATGATGTCGATGGTATGGGTCCCAGTGATATGGCAGGTAGTGACTATGAATGCAGTGAACGAGTGGTAATTAATGTAAGTGGTCTACGATTTGAAACACAATTACGGACTTTAAACCAATTCCCAGAGACATTACTTGGGAATCCACAGAAACGAAATAGATACTATGATCCACTAAGAAATGAGTACTTTTTTGATCGGAACCGACCAAGTTTTGATGCAGTGTTATATTATTACCAAAGTGGTGGACGTTTAAGAAGGCCAGTTAATGTTCCATTAGATGTTTTCTCAGAGGAAATTAAATTTTATGAACTTGGAGATGATGCTATTCAAAAGTATAGGGAAGATGAAGGATTTATCAAGGAAGAAGAAAAACCATTACCTACAAATATATTCCAGAGACGAGTTTGGCTGTTGTTTGAATATCCAGAAAGTTCAACTTCAGCCAGGCTAATTGCAATATTCTCAGTGGTTGTTATTTTAATGTCAATTGTGATCTTTTGCTTAGAAACATTACCAGAATTCAAAAAGTATCGATATTTGAACAAAACTAGTGAAACTGGCAATTCCACAACACCATCGATTGAGGAAGATGATATTCCTCAGTTTAATGAACCTTTTTTCATTATAGAAACCTGCTGTATTATTTGGTTCACTTTTGAGCTTTTAGTTAGATATGCTTCCTGTCCTGGAAAATTAGGATTCTTTAAAAATGTAATGAATCTTATAGATATTGTGGCAATCATTCCATATTTTATCACACTAGGTACCGTAATTGCCGATGAAGGTAAATCGAACAACCAGGCCATGTCTCTTGCTATCCTAAGAGTGATAAGATTAGTAAGAGTGTTTAGGATATTTAAATTATCAAGACATTCAAAGGGACTACAAATATTAGGACAGACTTTAAGAGCCAGTATGCGAGAATTGGGATTGCTCATTTTCTTCCTCTTCATTGGAGTTATTTTGTTTTCTAGTGCAGTGTATTTTGCTGAGGCAGATGCAGAAAGTACGCATTTCCATAGTATACCTGATGCCTTCTGGTGGGCGGTTGTAACTATGACAACCGTCGGCTACGGTGACATGCGACCGATAGGAGTTTGGGGAAAGCTTGTAGGTTCATTATGTGCCATCGCTGGTGTACTAACAATTGCATTACCCGTGCCTGTGATTGTATCAAACTTCAACTACTTTTATCATAGAGAGGCAGAGAATGATGATAAAACGAACTACCATCATGTACAAAGTTGTCCAAACTACTCAAATAGCAAGAAAAGTTCAATTGCCTCTAGCGGTTCAGAAAATATTATGGAAATGGAAGAAGGCAGTAGTTTTATTAATGTGAATAGTGACAGATCGAAAGAAAACCACACAAACAAGGTAAACAACCCTTCTAGTATGAATAACTTAAGCATTGAGACTGATGTATGACAAAAACTGTTACAACATTAGAACTTTTTACTCATCAAGTTGTTTGTAACTGGGAATTTAACAGTGTTTTTGACTGAAGTTAACACTTTCCTTGCATTTTATTATATTATATCCTATAATATTTATTAAGATTCATTTTGAATTTCTCAACTCCAAAAGTCTTTCATCTTCGCACCAATCATTAAAGCACCTGCAATTGTTTTTTTATCTTCGGAATTATGAACACCTTTCATAATAGATGGATTCATGACAGTTTTCCATTAACACAACTAAAACCAGAAATCATAGCGCTAATACACACGAAAAGGTATACATCAAATACATGTAACAAGGATCAGTGTTTATTTACATGCAGATATTCAAAAATAGTGAGGGCTAGGATACAAAATTCAGTGATAAAAAACTTTACATTTCCAATTCTGATTATTCTATAGATGGTCATGGATTTATTCTACTTCTGTGATTATAAATGAAGATTTGTGCTAACTAATGAAGAATTTCCAAATTAACTTTCATTCTATTATAAGTGGTTGTTAGAAGTGAACCAAAACAAAGCAGTTGTCGAGAAAGATGATGGAATGGCTGACAGAAACAAAGAAAGAGAATCAGACAGAAATGATTGAAGCTCAAACTGGTGGACAGAATGCTGACAAAGGTAAGATGATTATACTTTATTAGATGATTAAAAAAAGATCACAAACAGAAGGAAAAATGGAGGAATTTATGAAAAGGGTGGTATTTGAAGAAGAAAAAAATGAATTACCATGGTTACATTGTAGCTGCTACTTTGCCTTTAAATTTGAGGACCATCAAACTGCCAATATATTTTTATTGGTGTAGTTTCGAGAGAATTTTACATATCATACTTGCATTTATGAGCTGACAACCAAAATCTATTAGCAATATAATTTGATCATCAGCTTTAAATCTGTTATCATGGTTATATTATATATTTCTTTCTATATCTTTACTCTTTAATGTTAGGTAGTTCAGAAACATTACAAAGAATTTATTACATGTAATGCATATATTTCATGAATATGCTTGTAATTATCACAAAATATCTGTACATGTATATAATGGGCATCAATTACAATACATGCAGGTGCTGCAGTTATGGCTCTGAACTAAAGTTGCAGTGTACTGTGGTTCTTCATTACTAATGAAGAAACTAATTAACCCACATACAAGAGGTAGTACCTATTAATCAATACTGTTATAATGATACATGTAGTTCGTAGTGTAGGGGTTGATAATAGCAGAATTTCTACCAAGGTCCTAGAAAATCAGGTGTTAAAACAAAATTCTACTGATAGATGTGAGATTATTTTGGGTGTTGCAGTGAAATGTTCTTTCTTGTTATCTTTAAATTATTTTTGGTTAAAATGTAAACTTCCATCATAGTTGTCAGTACTTTTTCTGAAGCCAGTATAACACCTGTTAAAAGGCCAATCAGAGAGTAATAAGATTAAGGCCATGTATTTGGACTGGTCATATTTTCAATCCTTCACACATGACATAGCTGCATTGTTTCCTTGAGCATTATTTAACTTGAAGTAATAACAGTCCAAAAAGTATACAGAAATATATGTAGTGTATATACATGTATTTATTTTGAGGCAATGCTATTTGAATGATAATATTAAAAATACGATGCTTATTTCTTAATGAAGGATTTGAGATTCATATAGACTCTTATGTTGTATAAGTTAATATGATATTGTTGAGTGAAATACATCATACATTTGTACCTGAAATTGGATCCTTGAAAAAAAATCAAGAACAGTTTTGTTAAATATGTTGTTAAGAAACCCTGCTTTGAAGTACAGTATCATCAATTGCATGAGTTCACATTCATAAGCTGGTTGTGTGCATTTGATGGACATTAAAGCTGAATATATTGTAAAATCAAATATAATACAGGAGCATACTTCAAAATATATAGTACTAATATCAAATATATATATAGCTATGTAGATTTTCTGTATGTCAGTCACATACACATGTACATGTATGATGTGTATCCTGGCATAATTTGCTTAAAACGTTTTGCTGCAATATCTCACTGGTCAACCGTCATTGTATAATAGATTTGCAAAGTTGCTCTCTAACAATGCCAAGCAGAGGTACATGAAACTTGATGTATTTATCACCATCTTGTCAATTTAATCATGTGATGTGCAGCAATTTGGTCACTGCGGCTTATATAATATCAATTTCAGTTGTTGATTTATTTCATTTGATTTCATTGTATTCAATTTTATATAACGTTTTTACTGTTGAAATATGCTGATTTATACATTTAAACTAGTCTTTAGTTGTATTTAAACTATTTCAAATGCTTTCTTAATAACGTCATACTTGAATTCAATACTTTTATAATGGTTGTATTGATGTATATATACTATGGGGTTGAAACTGTTTGTAATCCTGTTTCTTTATAATATAAATAAATACTCTGATTGAGTGAACTTATTTTGAAACAGATTTAATAATCCTTGTCAAACACTCAATCGTTGCTTCTATTTGCAAAAAAAAATGCATTAAGTGCTTGTGACATATATATGTATATGAAATTGAGAAATTTACGAGTGCTTGTATTGTTAGTTTTATTTTTAATTAAAAGTCAGTGGAGTATCAGACCTTAACTAATTTCAGTCACGCTTTGAATTTAAAGTTAAGTTTAATACATGAATATATCTCCAGAGATACATGAAAGCTAAAAAATATTAGATAAACTGGTCATTCTCAGTGCTGAATCAAGTTTTTTGTACCTATTAAATGCTGTGGGCACTCTCAAGTTCCACATCCTAGACTGGGGACTCTTCAAAGTTTTTTTTTTTGATTATTCTATCATTGATGTGTTACCAAACATTTGCTTTTAGTCTTGTTATGAAAGCTTTGACAGTTCAAAATATTTGAAAGAGAACTGGAGTAAAAGATATTTGTCAGGTGAATTTAGAAGAACAGTTACCAGACAGGGGTGTGCATGTTCTCACTTCATTGGCGCACAAGAAGTTGAAGTTCTTTCCCTGGGCACAGTCAAATGTGCATTTAAGGGTGGTTTGTGTTTAAAAAAAATTTTTTGCACTAAGTAATAGCTTTAAACTGTTTGTTTTTAAACGAATTTTGTAGCAGTATTATTTTTGCTTTTTAAAATAATAACGGCAAAGTGAAAAAAAAATCATAAAGAATTCACAAACACTGGAAATAATCATGATGATTTTCTAAATAATTTCTAACCTTGAATTGCTATACAAAAGAGTTTCTTGAGCCAATGAGCAGCAATAATGCAAGCATAAAATGTCAAATGAATACACTTATTCATCCTGTGTTAAGGATTTTCAATCATGCTAGTTTTAAATTAAACCTTTTACTAGTGTTAGTGATGGAATAAATCTCGATACAAATTCCATAAATGAAATGTTAATAATGTTTATTAAACACATTTTAAGGCCGAATCATTTAATATCAACTTGATGTTTTTCCAATATAGTTTGTAATGCTAAGATTTAGAATGGTATGAATGAATTGGAATTTGAAAAGCCCATCTGTTCATTGTAAAATTTATATGTTTTGAATTTTTATTGTTTGCAGAAGCCTGCTGATGCTATTTTAAAGGTGCAATATATATATATATATATATATATATATATCCTAAATTTATCCCTAATGAGAACCTAACAGAAGGCTTAAATTACTCTCCTACCTAATGGTTTCATCTCGGTGACTGCTAAAAGTACAAGTCAATCATCATAGCCCATGTTGTGTCCTCTTGAATTATGTTTGCTTTTTAATGTTTCATCCTAAATTTCACCTGTTGTTCCCCACCTTCCAACTTTTGGACAAAATAAAGTATGCTGTGAGTCCACTTTAAAGACCCAAAAACAAAGTACATGTGATAAGAAAAAGGATGAAGTTAAAATGTGATATAAGTTGAAAAGGTCACACCAACATTCATATATGGAGTAAACGTCACATCTTGAAACCATTTAGTACAGGACATCTTAGGCTGGGAAATGGTCAAAGGTACCTAGCAAATATATATACAATATATGTGTTTTCTTTATTTTGAATTTTTCATTTAAGCCATTTGTCCTTGAAAACAGAAGTTGTAAGCTTATGCAACAATTTTTTCATACATGTATTAAATCATAAAAAAAACATGGGAAAGAAGATCTTTGAAAAAATTAAATTACCATTGATTTTATATTGTAGAACTGTATAGAATTACTGTTTTATTCAGTTTCAAAAGACTGTAATACAAGAATTATAGCAATCAACAATCAATGCAAAGTTTTGATCAAGTCAGCACTTGTCATGCTTGTCAAATAAGCAAAAAGAAAAATAACAATTTGATTATACCAAATCTCTTTTCAAATTACACTGAATGGAGCAAAATTAAAAACATTATCTGTATTGAGTCTAAACAGTAAATAATAACACAAACTTTTATTCATCAATCTTAATGAAAAAAGAGATTAATGTAGATTGTAAGATGTAATGATAATAAAAATCTACTAAATAGTCCGTACTTATCTAAATTAATATTTTATAATTTTTTTCCCCAGTGCAGGATTGTATTTGTTATGAATTATTGAACAGTATGAAATTGCTTTTTGTGAGCGAGAAACTTCATAAAGAGTCTTTTGTTGTAAAGAGAAATTGATTATGTTTGCTCGGGTAATTCGTTTGGCTAGTGGTCAATTTCTATGATGTCATAGGGGCTTATATAGGTCTAAGCTAGGTCTTAGGTGAGATTATGGTAGGGTTTTAATATTTTTTTAGTCAATGGTAATCCTTTTCTAGATAAATTACATGTAATTCTAGTTGTTTAGTTGTTATAATCTGTGGAATTTCACAAAATTTAACAATACATGTAAATTGTAATCCTATAAAACTTGATTAACATGATAATATGTTTTTTTCTGGAAGATTATGATAAACAAGTTTTGTTGGAACACATTTAGGACATGTACCATAAGCCTATCATTATTTGCTGATTTTTATCTTTCCTGTATTTCATGTAGCAACAAGTTTTGAAAATACCATATTTTGTACTGAGTATTTATTGTTTAGAAAGACTTACAGCCATAACCTATATTGACTTTCAGGCCATAACCTATATTGACTTACAGGTCATAACCTATATTGAATCACAGGTCACACTTGTCCAACTTTGGCTATTCTTTATGTCTTTTTTGTTTTGTTCAGCTCTTTCAACATTTTCTTGGGTTTTGGATTTTCAAATGTTTCGACCTTGACATCACTGAAGAGACATTAATTGTCAAAATGTGCATCCGGTGAAATATCGTTTGTGACAGTGACCTGGTAAGACTTCCAATATATTATGACCTATAAGTCAATATCGGTTGCGATTAAAATAAAGTAATAAAGTACCAATTTTGATGCACCGGATGCTGAATCTTTTATTTGAATAATTTCACAACACAACCATGTATTTCATTTAAAATCAAACATAGCCTTGTTTTCTTAAATACTCATCTGGGTTTTCCAAATTACTAAAAGTGAGTTTTTCCTGCAAGAATGATGTTTATGGTCCCTTTCTTTTCATTGTAAAAACTGCACAAATCAATGCAATGGTCATAAAATATGAATGTAAACTGATTCTGTTATACATGAAGCAAGTTTTTC